TTTAAAGAGCCTCCAGGTGATAATTGTCCATCATGTGAGACTGAATCTCATCTCAGCTCTGAACAGGCTGCAGCAGTTCAGTCTGACTGATGATCCTTCATCTCCATTTCTCTGCAGCAGCCAGAAGAAAACAGGAAAACTGAAACAGACTCTTCATTTCATCACCAACATCAGGAGAACATGCAGCAGAAAGGCCATCAGACTGACCTTTGACCTGGAAACTCAGATAATCTGCAGCTTGTTTTCAGACATTAAGAAGATGAAGGTGAAGCAGCTCTGACTCTGCCCACCTCAGAGGTCGGAGGTCAAAGCAGCTAAAGGTGAAAGTTAGTGAGCAGGTCTAACCTGATGCAGCAGCAGAGGAACCTGATGAAGCAGCAGCAGGAGAACTTCAGTCCTCTGATCAGATCCTGTTCTTCACTCCAACAAGCCGTTCATTCAGCAGCAGGACTCCTCCTCTTCCTCACTTTCTTCCTCCTGCTGCTCCTCTCAGATCTCCTCTGTCTGTCACAGGAGGAAGAGGAGGAGCTCAGATCATGATGAAGGTCTCTGTTCAGACTCAACTTCTAGCGGCTCTGACGTCATTAAATGTGGCGCAACTTAAACCAAACCATCTCCATCTTTTCTGGTTTCAGTGCGCCATCTAGTGATTAAATGTGTTACTGCAGCTGCTGCCTGCAGGAAATGTTGAGTGGAATAAGAATTAAAAATAAATCAATGTTTTCATCTGTGGTTTATGTATTTTTATCTCTATTTTATCTGAAATAATGTTAATGACCAAACATTACACACTAATTAAACCCATAAGAAAACTAGTTATTCAAAAATATTACTTGGAGATTTTAATAAATGTGCAACTATATAAAAATAGGACATGAACAATAAACCACCTGAAACTTCTTCAGATGGTTTATTAATTAATTGAAGCTAAAACTTAAGAGCAAATATTAGTTTTCTAAAGCTTTCATTGTGTAAAAATCACAATAAAACAATTAAACTTACAGGATTTTTTAATATTAACACCTACATTATGGTGCTTAACGTTCAGGTCTAAATTAATCCTGCAATCAAAAATCAAATGACTCAAAATAAAGAATCAGAACCAGAACAAACAGAAGGGAGGAAGGAGAACCAGGTTAAATCAAATTAACTTTTATTTTTAATTCAGTTTACAAACTGAAGTCTGTAGAACTGATTTATTGGTTTCTGGTACAAAACAACAAAAAAATTGAACATGGAAAAAGTTATTCAATCACAAACACAAAATAAAACACAAGAAAGCTATACACATTGTCTGATTAAGAACAAAAATCTCATGACCAACATCTGAACCAAGCTGGACGTTTCCTCTGAGGCTCCACCATCTCTGGGTTTCTCCCCAGCTCTACGGCTCCTTTCAGAATCGCTTCCTGGGGTCTAAGAGGACACAGGACTTTATACTGACGTCCAAACTGATCAGTGATGTGCTGACGTAGAATCTGGCTCTCAGCCAATCCTCCCACTAACACACTAAAACCAATGTTGAGATTTTGGTTTAATATTTCTCTGAGTGTCTCTGTGATTATCTGCAGACTAAAATCATAGAAAGATCTCAGTTTCTCTCTGGAGATCCTGATAGATCCATCATCCCAGGAAGCTCCTTCCACTGAATCAAAGAAAGTTTCAATCTGTTTCTGTTTCTGAGCCACTATGACCAGGTTACCCGGGCAACGGATCTGAACATCTTCATCCAGACAAGTAAAATCATACATGATTTTCTGAACCTCATTGGGGAAGTTTTTCTCGTATTCCTTCCAGATTCCAACAGAGAAAATTTTCTCCAGGAACTGTTTGAATTCATTGTCCACGTATTTTTCTCCCCGCCATATTTCAAAGGTCTCATGCACCTTCATGTCTCCTCCTTCCAGGACTTCATGAACAGTGAAGTGACTATGTCTATCTGTTGACAAACAGGAAGAGAATAAAATATATTAATGGAAAAATCTCAGGAAACAACTTATCACACATTTTAACTCACATTCTACAAACATTAATCAAAGAGATTAATTCATCCATCATTTATCCAATTGTCCCCACAGAGTTGTGGGGGACAAACAGAGACCAGTTAACCCAACAGTCATGTTTCTGGACTGTGGGAGGAAGTCGGAGTACCCAGAGAGAAACCAGGCATGAACAGGGAGAACATGGAGACTCCATGCAGAAAGACCCCAGACTGGGATTCAAACCCAGAACCTTCTTGCTGCAAGGCAGCAGAGAAACCAGCTGATCCACCGGGCAACACAACATCACTTCAACATGTTTACTGTGGATAAAAATGTTTTTAAAACTCGTCTTTAAACCTTTAATAACGGTGAGTAACTTTTACCTCCACAGTCGACAACAAGGTACCGTTTCCCGTCTCTTTGGGTCTCCAGCAGGACTTTGGTTTCTTCTGGTTCCACAGTAAACTGTACGACCTCCTGACCTCCTGCTGGATCTGTAGAAACACAGAAACCTCACTGAGCTGCTCTATGAACAATGATCAATGTTTTTACAGGGAGATTCAGGTTTTTAGTTCATTTATCTTCCGTCTCT